GCTAACATTATATTCAATGTGAAAGCAGAAACTTTCTCTCTAAGTTCATGAATAAGATAAAGTTGTCCACTGTCACCACTCTTATTCAAGATAGTATTAGAACTCCTGCTGGAGCAATAAGGCAAATAAAAAGCATCCAAATCAGAAAGGAAGAGGTAAAGTTGTCTCTGGTGATGACATGATACTGTATACAGAAAATCCTTAAGATTCAACCAAAAATCTCTTAAAGCTGATTAATGAATTCAGTAAAATTTCTGGATATAATATTAATATAAAAATCAGCTGCACTTCCATACATTTACAATGAACTATATGAAAAAGAAATAAAACAATCTCATTCATAATGGCACAAAAACCAATAAAATACTTACAAATAAATTTATCCTACGTAGTGAAAGATTTGTACACTCAAAATTCTATTAAGACACTGATGAAAGAAATCAAAGAAAACACACACACCATCTATATATTAAATGCTATCCCTATCAAAACCACAAAAGAATTTTTCACAGAAATAGAAAAAATAAGCTCGAAATTTGCATGGAACTAAAAGAACTTGAATAGGCAAAGCAATCTTGAGAAAGAATAAATTTGGAGATATCACACTTCCTGCTTTTAAACTATATTACAGATTTATAGTAAACAAAATAACAGGGTACTGGTATAAAAAGACACATAGAAAAATGGGACAGAATTGAAATTCTACAAACAAACCTATGCATACATGGTCAGCTAAGATTTGATAAGGGAGTCAAGAATAGTCAGTGAATAAGAGGGGGAAGGATGGTTTCTTCAGTAAGTGCTATTTGAGAAAAGTGGATATGCACTTGCAGTTATACCACTCACAAATATTAAATTGAAATGGATTAAGGACTTAAATGTAAGACAGAAACCACAACACTCCCAAAAGAACATAAAGAGGAAAATCTTCTTGACATGAGTCGTGGCAATGATTTTTTAGGTATGACTCCCAAAACTCAAGCATTAAAAGCAAAAATTAACAAGTGGGACTATAGCAAAATAAAGATTCTTCACAGCAAACCACACAATTTAAAAAATAAAAAGGAAAACCTCTTTGAAGAGGAAAAAAAAACTTGTAAAACGTAACTCTGATAAGAGGTGACTATCCAAAAAAATATTAAAAAAATCACACAATTCACTCAACCCCCTCAAACACTCAGCCTAACAAATGGGCAGAGAATCTGAATAGACATTTTTCCTAAGAAAAGCTACAGAAGGCCACGAGGTACATGAAAAGAGGTTCAGTGTCACTAATCATAAGGGAAATATAAATCCAAACCACAATGAAGTATCTTATACTTTGTAGAATGGCTATTATCAAAAAGGTAAGTGTTGGGGACCGAGGCCGGCATCTGGCGTCTGTCAGCAGCCATAAAAAGGTGAAATGGAACCGATAGAGAAAAACATCTGGGTTGCAAAAGGCATGTGGGAGGAGCTCCCTGCCCCCACCTTTTCCTTTTCCTCTTTCTTTTCTCGCCCATTTTCGCCCCTCACGAGACCAACTGCCACCAAAACATGTTGCATTTCTATTGGCCTTCTCCCTTCCTGTCATCCCTCTCCTCCTGTATAAAGCTGAGATAAAAACCTAATAAAGAGCTCTTTCTTTGTTCTGCTACATGCGTGTGACTGCTTCTTTTGTTCGCCGGACCTGGGGCCCCGACTCTCCGGCCTTGCTGGTCAAGGTCCCCCGCAGGTAAGAAATAACAAGTATTGACAAAGATGTAGAGAAAAGAGAATGGAAGTTCATTGTTGGTAGGAATGTAAATTGGTACAGTACTTATGCAAAATAGTATGGAGGTTTCTCAAGAAATCAAATAAAGAACTGCTATTGATAAATGAGCCAGCAATATCTAAAGTAGATGAAATAACTATCTCAAAGTGATATCTGCACTCCCATGTTCACTGTAACATTATTCATAATATACAAGACATGTAAAAACCTAAGTACTTGAAAATGGATAAATGGATAAAGAAGATGTGACTTATAAACTTATATATACAATGGAATATTATTCAGCCATAAAAAGGAAATGCTGTCATTTGTGACAACAAAGATAGGCCTTTAGTACATTATGCTGAGTTGTCAGAGAAAGACATACTATATAACATCACTTATAAGTGGAATCTAAAAACATTGAACTCATGGAAACAGAGTGGAATGGTGGTTACCAGTGGCTGAGGGGTGGAAGAAAAGATATTGGTCAAAGGTCCCAAACTTTTAACTGTAAGATGATTAAATCCTCGGATCTAATGTTTAGCACAGTGACTATAGTTAACAATATTGAATTGTATGCTTGAAAGTTACCATGAGAGTAGAGCTTTAAGTTCTAACAACAACAAAGTGAATTTAATTATATGAGATGAAAGATATGCCAATTAACCTTATTGTGGTAAATATTTTATAATATATACATGTATCAAATCACCTTGCTACACACCTTAAAATTAGACAATTTTATATATCAATTATACCTCAAGAAAGCCTGGGGAAAAAAAGTGAACATGAGCTTTGGAACCAGGCTGGGATCCAAATCGTGGCTCTGCTACCAATGAGCTGCACTGTTGGGCAAGTTTACAGATGGCTTCCCCAAGGTTATAAATAAATGAGATAAATGTGCTAAGTGCCTCCCACAATGCCTATCCTCAGTGAACAGAGGTGGTTATGGTGGTATTTGTGGTAACAGAAGTAGTTGTTGATGTTGTTATTATAATATCTTATTCTATGAAGGACTTTCCTATTCCTGGCCCATTTTTCTATGGATTGTTCCAGATAGAACACCAGGCAGGGTTGGATGGTCCAGAAAATTAGTTTTGGGTATCTGCTTGGCAAAGTCCAAGCTCTTCGGAAGGCATAGATCTCCCACTTGGTCTTTGTCCAGCACCCCTGCTTCAAAGAAGTATATCAACTGTTCTACCAAGCTGCTCCCAGAAGGCCATGTATATTTCCCTTGTTGGGGCATTAGCTGTGCCTGGTTCTTTCCCTGGCTAGAAGCCTACAGGTATAGGCTGGCCTTGTAGGCAACAGAAGACAGCATATCTTTCCATGCTTGAAAAGATACAGAAGATATGAATAAAATCATGATTATCCGTGGTGGAAGAGAAGAGATGCAAAGGGTGAGGACATGGGGGGAAAACTCAACCTTTCTGTTTTATTTTGTATTCTTTTAATTTGAGTGGTGTAGATGTTTTACTTCTTCAAAGGTAATTTAATAAGACAAAGAATCCAGTGTCTTGTTTTCTGTTTGTATTTTCCATGCTATCCATTTCTGTGGAGGCTTCCCATCCAGCCTGTGTGCCCCTCCCATGCTTCAGAGAACTCTGGGAGTTGAACCTCTCAATGCCTGACAGTGGGTCCAAAGTTTCCACTCAGCCTCATCGATCTTCCTAGGCTTAACTCTCTGCTAAGCTAGGATTCTGCCCATTATGACTTTCACCGAGTCCCTCTCACTGACCTTGGTCCCAGGGCCCCTTAGTTGTTGAGTAGACTAGAGGGACAGGCTCTCTCTGAGGAAGGCCCCAGTGACCTGAAAGAAGAGAGGTGAACCTCCAAGGAACTGCCCAAGTCTGACAGAACTGGGCCCAAGAGATGGCGAGGTGTGTGGGGCCACGGGGAACCAAGGAGTGAGGAATCTGTGGAAGGAAGCCGGCTTGGAAGCTAGGCAGCGAGGGCTGTGCTCGGACATAGAGTCCCACTTTGGAAGGGGCAGAGGGAGAGAGAGGAGAGCTCTGTGAGAACCCCCTCTGCCCAGGAGCTCTCTGAGGCCTTTTGAGACTGACTTTTCCCTGGCAACCAGTCCATCTGGGCTGGTGCTCATGGTAGGTTGGGAGCAGGGATATTTTAGATGTGTCAAACGTGATGAATGTTGGAAAGTGCCATAGGCATCTCTGAAAACTCGCAGTTCACACTGACAGCTAAGATGAGCCAGACTCTTTGGAAGAAACTGAGCTCCAGAGGAAACTGGCAAATCTTTAAAAGAGGCGACTCCTGTTCACTGTTCGAGAGGTGGGTGGCAATGAGGTGGGTTTTGCAAGTGGACAAAGAGCCACGAGATCAGTGCAGTGGGACTGGGATGCAGCAATGCCCGAGGTCTTGGCAGAAGGAAGTGGCTTTCAGGGAGGCCAGCTCAGACAGGAAGGAGCAGGATCATATCAAAACAGCAGGCAAGTGGTGGCCTGAGGTTGGCACTAGCAGAGCTGGCGGCAGCTCTGGGGCAGCAAAGCCTGGTCTGCTAAGTGCTGCCCGCCAGGACTGAGCAGGGGCAGTAGTCAGAGCCAGCAGAGGCTGGAGGTGAGCCCAGGGCCTTGGCCCAGAGTGAAGCTGGAACAAGGCTCCAGTGTGTCTGGATTTGAAAACACCCCAGGGAATGTGTTACTAGAATTCAGCATCTACCCTGAAGATAATGCATCCTAAGAGGAGGGTGCCTCGGCATTCTGTTTTCAGTGTAGCCTTGTTTTGCATGTAGTGTTACTGGTTCTTTGCTTCTGTGGTGAGTTGGCTTATCCTGGGCTATTTGGGAGCTGGGGGTGGGGAAGCTGGGGTGGTAGCCATCTTGGAACATGGCTGACCAGAAGAAGGAGGATGGAATCAACCCATGAAGGGACTGGGGTACGGTAAAGAAGAGCAGTCTTAGGTGAGTCACAGGGAGGGAGGAGATTGATGAGCAGAGACCCTGAATGTGGAGCACTGGGGCTTCTGGGATTGGTAGACCTTATCTTCTGCATAAGGATGAGTAGAATTGGGAGGGGGGGGAGGTGTCAGGGTTGGATGGAGAAGCTCACATGGGTTTTACCTGCCGTGCAGGCTCTCTAGAGAAAACACAGCCATTCTTTCCTTATCATTGTCCTCATCAGCCTTCCCCACCATTTCCACAACCAGGAGAGAGAGATCTCATAGTCATCTCTGTCATCGTCATCATCATCATCACCACTATCATCATCACCAGCAAATCTAAGTGCTTGAGCTTATATAACATGCTTACCTGGTCAAGGTTTGGATTTGTTTTTCCACCTCCCACCTCCGACCAGCATTTGCTGACTTCCACATCCTGTTCCTGAGTCCTTCTTCTCCCAGACACCCGCTCACCCCTGAGCTAGCTCCCACTCCTTCCTTCCTCCCCTCTCATCCCCTCCCACTATCAGCAACTGCGACTCACTGTAGCAACTCACTGTGGCAACACACTGCTTCCTGGCAGGATCTGTTCCGCCCTTCTCTGTCCACACCCTCTTCTATTCAGCCAACAACCCCCTCCGGCCTGAAGGTCCCAGGTGCCCCCGCTCACTTCTGCCTCCACAACTTTGCTCCTGCAGTTCCCTCTGCTAGGAGATCTGTCTCCCTTTGCAGGCCCCAGTCTGGCAGGAATGAGACTGTGCTTCAGGGTGGGGGCTTTAGGGAACTTCTGACAAGTGGCGAGGTGAGGGTGAGGGGGGCAAGGCCCCCCTCTGTGTGCTCCCCAGGGCCTGTGCATGTCGATGGGAGGGTCCCCTCAGTGGTCATGAGCTGTTGGGCCACTAACACAGCCATTCCTGCCTCTGGCTATTCTCTAGCAATAAGCTGGAAAAAAGGGTATTAACAGATAAGAAGAAAGTTCCAGATAGTCTTTGGAATCATGGGATGGTCTTGTTTTGTCCTCATCTCAAAGTCCTCCAGACCCCAAACCATTTCCTTTCCTTTCTTTGTCTACTCTTCTGTAATTCCTCCCTTACGTCAAGGCTTATGATTCAGTTTTTAAAAATTGCCTTCTGATCCCGAACTGTTTGCTGGCAATATGAATAGGGACTTATGGGGGAAAAAGAGCTTTGTGGTCATATAAATTTGGGAAATGTTGTATTAAGAAACATTAATCAGGCTTCCTGCTGGCCAGACAGGGACATTAAGTGGCTACTTGCTGTGCACCTAATCTCTAGCAGGGACAAGTGAAACGCAGTGGTTCTCAAACCCAATTACATGGGAGTAGGCAGCCCCTGGCTTCCACATTCCTCTCTGTGGCCAAATATTTCTGTGACTGGTATCCCATGGGACATCCTGAGGAAATTCTATTTGAGAAGCTTCCTTTTTTGCCTGTATCCTATTGAACCATGCTCACCCCATCTCTGTGTGTTGGTGCCTGGAAGACTGGTGTGAGCTGCTCTGATGTAGACTGTTATGTGGGGCATGGGGTGGGCACTTGGAAGAGGGGTGACGTCCCTGGTCTCTGTTATTCACGATGCTGCAGGAATGTGAGCCTGAGTCCTGCTGCAGGGACTGGAGCTTTATTCCTGTCACCCAGGGGTGACCACTCTCCTGATTTCTTGGTGGGAATTTCCTTCTGGTCTTTTTTTTTTTTTTTTTTTAAGATTTATTTATTTATTTGTGCATTCAGGCCAGAGGTGCAGGGGCGTTGAGAGGACTCACCAGAGACAGAGGGGGGAGCAGAACAGGCAGATCCACGAAGTACACTGCTGAGGGGAGCAGCAGGCAGGTCAGGAGAGCGCCATGTGAATCTCCTCTGGGGCAGGTGGGGATAGAACTCATGCGGAAGTGGCTTTTGATTCTTAGTGCTGTGCTTTAAGCTGCTGCACCACCACCCTCCTTCTGGTCTTTTCCATGCAGGTATGTATCATGGAGGATTTGATTGGGGGCCTTTCTAAAGTGCAAAGGGTCTTTTGGTGAAAGTTTGCAGGATGAATAGAAATGGGAGCATTAAGCAGCAACTGTCACAGGCCCCTTGACAAAGGGAACGTGTCCTGAGCCATGCACCATGCAGTGATTCTGGCATAGTGTGAACGTCCCAGGGTGATCACACAAACCCGACATACAGCCACTACACACCCAGGCTTCACATCACACTTGCAGCCCATTGTCGACTGAAATATCATTAAGCAGCACATGGTGTTAATTTGCTGGTTGACAATTTTCTTTTAAAATAGGCAGTAGGCAAGTTTAATAGCTTTCAGATTGTACTATCTCAGGATCCCAAGCCCAAGCCTGTGGAGGGATTGGGGGGGAGGGGTGTGCAGTGGGTGTGAGAAGGGGATACAGAGGCAGAGAGGGCAGGTCACGGACTCCCCACGTTTATTTCAACCCAAATAACACTACTTTTAGGTTTTCACATTTCCCTCTTGGAGTTCTTTTTATAGGGTTGCTTCCAAAAATCTACACCAGTCACGTTGCTTAACAGATTAAAAACAAAGCCTGCAGTACAGAGAAGTTAAAACACATATTCATCTACCATACATTAGGTACTAGATCTGGAATCTAGGTTTTCCAGAATATCATCGAATGCTTTATCTACACACACTTGCATTTGCTTATTTCCTTCTGACTCAATCAGTTTCCACAGAGAAGGAAAAAAAGATGGAAAGGAGCAGAGTAGTGAAGATAATGTGGGAAATCCACCCAGAAGCAGTTGGGGAGAAAAGGATGGAGCAATCCTATCTGTTCCTCATTTAAACTGTTTCACTGCAGTTCTTATGCTAGGCCTAAAAATGTAAAGAAATATGTGCTCAGAGCAAGAGCTTGCTTCTTCCAAGAATAACTCATAAGGAGACACAGTACAATAACCCAGCCTCCAGTGAAATGAACTGTTTAATGAAAACTGCCGTGTTCTGTAAATATTCAGTCTATTGATGAAGAGATCTGCAAATAGGGGCGGCTCCTGAGGAAGCCTCCTGAGAGGCCTGGGGGTTTGGGGGCCTGGGGGGGGGGAGACTACAGCAGACAGAGAATAATGGCACACCTGCTGATCCTGGTTGTTGGGGTGTGGAGACCGGCAGAAGCGGTCCTCATGGATCTGCCACAGTGCACTCTGCTCAGAACAGTGGTGGTGGGGTCCAGAGCACCTCCCTTAATCCTTCAGTGTCTGGCTGATTAGTAGTGTGCTCCCTTTAATTCTAATGATGCTAATATTCCGTGTGTACTTCCTTGCCCTGAGCATCACCAATCTCTCATAAAACACTCTGAGGTACCCTGAGTTACCCTCCAATTGGTATTCTGATTCCACTGCACACATTCTTTTTTTTTCTTAAGATGATCTACATCATGTATAATTCATTCATCATCAGGTATACAAATCCTAAACCTACTGCTCTGAGATTCCACATCTTTGCCACCAGTGTAACCATCACTAAGAACAAGGCAAAGAGCATTTCTATCTCCAGATGGCTTCCTCCAACCTGTGTCCAGGCAAGATCACCAAAAACATAACCACTATTCTGACTTCTAGAACCAGAGATTAGTTTGGGCTGCTCTTGACCTTCAAGGCCACAGATTCCCACAGCATGAGCTCTGAGGTGCTTGGCGCCACTCACGCACCAGGATATGTGGGTCATCCATGCTGCTGTGTTCAGAGAACCTGTGCTACTCTGCATATGGCTTCTTCGCGGGCAACTAACTCCCTGTTGCCTTCTGCCTTTTGGAAATGTCTTCTGGGAAAGTGATTTGGTTTTACAGAGTTGACTGAGCCTGAAGGTGTGAAGCACAAACACAAAAGTTTAAGCTGTGGGGGTGGCCAAGAAGAAAACGCTTTAGATAACTCCCAAGTGCTATACAATTCCTAGTCCCTTGCTGCTGGGTTCCACGATCCCAGACTCACTGGCATCAGCACAAGAGCCTTTTTTGCATCTGTGTTTCTCTTTTTCAGAGTACTTTGTCACCGCCACCTCCTCAGACATGTGGGTAGCACTCTCAGGCATCCGCTAGGGCAGTGGTTTTCAACCCAAGGGACAGCTTGTCCCTTCACTCCCCTCCCCACTTCCCATGGAGACATTTGACAATATGGCAACATCCAGAGATATTTTTGGCTGTCAAAACAGGGGGAGGGGTGCTAATGGCTTCTAAGAGTGGAGGGCAGGCATGCTGCTAAACACCCTACAATATGCAGGATGGTCACCACAACAAAGAATCCCATCCCAAAGGTCAGTGGTGCTGATGTCAAGAAGCCTAGTCTAAGGTCAACACAGGGAAGCTGGAAGCTGTTCCTTTTCCCCATATAGGAGAAGAATAAGCAGGGCAAAATGGGAAGAGCTCTTGATCTAGTTTGAAGACTCCTAGAAATTCAAGGCCCCACTCAGCCACTAATGAGACATCTGACCTTGTTCCTCACCCTTTGTGAGGCTCACTTTCCCATCTTCTGCTGGGAACTGTGCCACCCACCTCTCTTATTTGCAGATCAAGTGAGAATGTCAATGGAATTGCTTTGGAATGCTCATATGTTATTATTTTATTTGACTATGACAGCAATTTAAGCTCATATGGATGTTTTTGTGTCTAATGTCAGTATGAGAACATTTTCAGCAGGGTTTCTGTTTCCCTGTATTCAATTTCCAGGGTCACAGCCCCATTCTCACATTTGTGTGGGAAAGGCGCTCAATATACAAAGGGTGTTTCCTGGAACTGTGGGCCGGGCTTCAAACATCCCTGCAGTCCTCTCAGACTGCTGTTCTCTACTCTGGGACTTCCAGTCTAGAAATCTCTTTTAAATTCTTCTAAGACCTCCAGGGGGGTCTCAGAAAAAGCAAGGTATTTTTAGTGCTGAAACTTGGATTGGATTTTATCTGGTGCATGTCTGGGGGCTCTGAGCCCTCCTAGGTAAGAAGCCATCATGTTACTTACTACAACTTTTGGCAGGCTGCATATTGTCAAGCTTAGCGTGCTGGGCATGAAGAACAGAGAGGGTATAACTTTAACAGCAGCCAGAGGTCCAGGGCTGTGCAAAGAAATGTGCCAAAGAAATGTCAGGTGTTTATTCAAATATGGAAACGTTGCTCTGTAAGTAAATAAGAGGGTGAAGTGAGGCAGTCAACAGTTCTGCTCAAAAGCAGGTTGGAGGGAGACTTCGTGTGGTAACGGGTAGTGCAGGAATGGTATTTTGTCATCGCCTGGTCATTGTAAATAACATAAGGTTGTTTGCAACTTTAATATAGAGTTGGGTGAATTAATATGGCTAAATTCTTTTATGTGAGCCACTCTTGAATTTTCATATTCAAAAGTATTCATATACTTTTACTCTCAGTTAAGATGAAATAAGTGTTCAGATTTATCTTCACACTTAAACAACTGGATGAAGTATATGAAATAACTGTTTT